ATTGGTAAAAATAAATAAGTAATTATGCCAATTTTGTGACTATAGAGGAGGTGACTATAGAGGGGTTTGACTGTAATCTGACAAAATATTATATAAAGATTTTTAACTTAAAATAGCTATATATAAAACAGATTCTATATAATATAAAAGAGGTTTTAATTAATTGTTGAACATTTCATTTAAAATCTTAAAAAAACTCAATTTTTAAAAGTTAAATAATTTTTAATCCTAATTGTATAACTTATTAAACATATATAAAACTAATTTATTAGTATATCAAAATTAGGTATCAGGTTTGCAGTATAGCAAAAAACTTTAAAGCTATTAATGTTAAATTAGCATTTATAATAAGGTTAGAGATTAGTTGTTTATATAGTAATATTACTTAAAAAAACTTTTTGTTAGAGCACTGAAGCTGATTTCTTATACAAATTTTTGAAAAATAAGTGATTTTTGATTAAATAAACATTTGCTTTGAATTTTTTTAATTATATTACATTATATTTGATCTTGAAATCTAATTTGTAAATTAGACAAAATGCACCAAATATGCAATTCATTATAAATTTATAAAATCTATTAAGTCAAATATTTATTTATACAAAATATTTATATTTGGAGCTTTAATTTGCAATATTGTCAATATCAAGAGTTTTTATTATTTTAAAATTTATAATTTTATAAAGTAATAAACTATAAAATTATAACTCAGATTAGTATTGAATAAATAATCATAATTGCTACAAATAATCACTAAGATGTTTCAGTTATTATTTAAAGAATCTTACTAACTATAACTAGTAGTGATCATCACCACCTCTTTATATGTATTAATATTACTAACCATGCAGATCACATGATAATAAAGATAACACCTAATGTATGAGAAGTTGCACAAACCAATCAACCTCAACTGCACTTATTTACAAGTAATACAACCTCCTAAAAAGGAAATAGCCAACCGGAGTGCACAAAACTTGACTGTTCCAGATCAGCTTGACATGAATTCCGAACATGTACGAAGAAAAAAGCGAAAATACTCAAAAACTAGTGTTTAAATCGACCTTGGTGCACTAATTAAATATGTCAGAAATGAACTTTTACATATATCTATTGTTATAGCCTCTAATGTTAACTCCATAACCCTAAACTTATATCTTTACGCACTTAGTTTATTTACAAAATTCGATTAGCAAGGCGAATTCACATGACTTACAACCAATTACCCGACCAGAAATGAGTGTCGTAACCTGCCTCGAGGCACTAATAAAAAATGTCGGGAAGACAATTTTACCTATAAGTCTTGCCCTAAGCTTAACCCCGAACAACCCTTACCTTAATTTTAATTACCTAATCAAAAACATATAAAAGCACCGGGCTTTAGCAAAACTGCTCAACTTGAAGCAATGTAACACATACGAGGACACGGAATTTGTGATTTAGTTCGTTGGGTGTCAAGAATTGCATAATTTCCATATTCCTGCACATATATAGTTATGCATATGACAATTTGTATAATATTAACTAGAACGTATATACGTATATACATACGTACGTATACGCCAAACTTTATTTTTCAAATAACAAACTTGAGAATTACATGATTCCACCAATTTTTGGTTCTAACGCTAATATACAAAACAAATTAAGATGATAGATTAGCTTGTAAAAAAAATTTGCTTAAAAACAGTTAATCTATATAAAACTCGCATTAATCCAAAAAAACTACAATAAAGGCCCACCCTAACCCTAACTACTAAAAGAGAAACGCTAGTAGAAGCTGCTTACTCTATATAAAACCCGCCTTAATCCAAGAAACATAATAGAAACCACCCTAACCCTAATTACCAAAGGAAAACACTTGTAGAAGCTGCTTATGCTAACCTTTAAAAGAAGCATTTAGAAAAAATAATGCACAATCTAGATTTGTACTAGGATGAAAATGCATATTAAACCAGAAAAAAAAATGAATAAGTGTTACAAATCTTGATTAACACTTACCTGATATCAAGTAACACCGATTATTTCGAGTTTTTAAAATGCACCACTATCGTCAAAAATGAATTTATTAGTAGTAAAGTTCTCAAAATCATGACTAAAAGTTATGATTTTGAGAACCTGTCATTTCAGTTGCAATTCCATATTACTGTAGTAAATATTCACAATATGAATCATTGCTAATGCATCATAATTAGAAGTGCACTATGAATTACACCCTATGCTATTACATGTGATTAAATTTTGTCTACCGCATATATATAATAATTGCTACGTAGTTCAAATCATTTATCCTATTATTTCTGTTTACACGTACGTGCATTATGACCTATCCCATCACATATATTACATACATACTTTCTTTTTTCGTGACATAATTCTTTTGCATTATTGTCTAAAACATTATTACCATTTGGACTAATATTTGAGAAAGGCAGTCTCAAATTAGAATCTTGTAGGTTAATCGCCTGATTACATGCCAATTCTCTATGACCTTGATGTTCAGATGAACTTTTCAACCTTTTAGTTGGCGGACGCCCACAATGTTTAGTAACTAAAGGGTCCATTATGACCTTATGTTCAGGTTGAGCACTTTCATTGTTGATATTTTCAGTTATAGATTTTTTCTGATCAATAAATCGTATAACCATATTTATCAGTTCTTCTTCACATCCAAGATCTAGTGCAATATTTAGAGCCTTTTTCATTTTTCCAAATCTGTTAGCATACTTAACCTTCTTGCTAACCACTTGCTTATGCTTTGCATCATACACATTAACACCTCGAATTTGTTCTATGATATGAAGATCCGGAACAATCGGAACAATTTCGTCTGAAGCATTTCTGAACCATAGTTGAAATCTCTATGACTTGCT